CACTTGTCTCTATGAAAATTCAAAACTTCCCTATGAAACATCAAAGTCTTGTACAAAATTAAAAGGCAAGTGACACAACTGGCTATATATTTACAATGTAAATGTTAACAGATTAATACCCTTTATATGTACCTCACAATCTAAGTACATCTAAGTACACGAAAGAATAAGCACATCTGAAACATAAAACTAACAAATGATGTCAATAGGCAATTCTCAAAATAAATATTAACACTCTGGCTTGAACCCTGGGCAGTAGCCTCAGCTGAGTAAGTGTACCACACATCAGGATGTCCTGCAACAAGACCCCAAATCACAGTCAGCCAGGTCTGCCAGTTATCCCACATGGCATCAGTCATTTCCTTTATAACAAATAAGAAATAAGATACTACGTTTTATCTTCTGGCCCTCTCATAGTGGTAGATGGCATTTACCTAGTACAATTACAAGATTCAGGTAAGATTGCTACCCCCTCCACACTAGCAGCAGCCAACCTTAACCTGGGAGGAGCAACGAGGAGGGTTACCTGTCCTTCCCCAGCAGGTGACTTATACTTTATTTCAGAGAAGGTTCTGGGATGTGGGTGAGTTTTGTGTCTCTTCTCCCATGACAGCTGATAAAAACATGGTACTTATGCAAGACCCCAGATGGCTTCTCTGGATACTCCTATTCTGCTCTCAAACTCTGCAGCATGAAGGGACTCTCTCAGGTCTCCTGCCCTGCCCCCAAATCCTTCTTTTAAGTACCAGGTAATGCAGAAATAAGCTAATCAGTGTGTGCAGACTCCCCTGGTGCCTGGAACTTCCAGGAATTCTAAGGTATTACTCTATACCATACCCAGCCTTTAAGAATGTGTTACGATTTCAGTTGTCCTGTTCTTACCTACTTTTATGGTTACTAACTCTGCCTCTCTGCCAAAGGTGAAACAGTTTTAGATATTCTGTCTCTTCTTGGAGGGGCGTGTGACACTTTGTAATGCAGTTCACCTACTTGTATTGTAACCTCAGCTCTGTAATGACCTCAAGAAAAAGAACTATAATTTTATATATTAACTGGCTTTTTCTCGCTGTGGCCTATTATATATCCTAAGTGAAAAGGCACTTCAGGAAATATTGTGAAATGAATGAAAATGAAAACACAACTCTGGTTTGCAGGATATGGCTTAGTATCTGGTGCTTAGAGGAAAATATATAAATTTAAATGCTTACATGAGAAAAAAAAAGATATATACATCAATGATCTAAGTTTACAACTTAAGAAGTTGGAAAGGGAACAGAAAAGTAAACCCAAAGTAGTAGGAAAACAAAAACATACAGGAAAAAAATTGTTAACAAATATTAGAAAGTTGAATCCAGAAGTCAATTACAGAGACTTTGGAATGGTGAAGCAACTTTGTATTCCTGGGATGAGCAGAGAGATTGATCCCAGTAATACAAAGTTGTTCCACCATTCTGAAGGTAACAGAATTTGCTACATTAACAGAATAAAGAAGAAAAGTGGTATGATCATTCCAATGTATGCAGAAAATGCATTTGAAAATTAAATACTCATCATGACCAGACTAAATTTTAAAATCAGCAAACTAGGAAGAGAAAGAAGCTTTTCCAACCTGATAAAGAACATCTATAAGAAACCTACAGCTAACAGAATACTTAATGGCAAAAGGATGCATGCCTTCCCTGGAGACCAGGAAAACCACAAGGATGTCAAAGGTCGCCACTTCTATTCAACATTTTATTGGAGGGCCTATCCAGCGCAGTAAAGCCAGAAAAAGAAAGAAGAATGCATAAAGGAACAGAAAAGCATAAAATTAAGAAGACTGACAACATTAAGTGTTGGCAACCTGAACTGTCACACGTAGCTGGTAGAAATGTAATACGATACCATCACTTTGGAAAGCAGATTGATAGTTTCTTTTCATTTTCTTTTTTTTTTTTTTTTAATATAGAAACAGAGTCTTGCTATGCTGGCCAGGGTGATCTCAAACTCCTGGTCTCAAGAAATCCTCCCACCTTGGCCTCTCAAAGTGCTAGGACTACAGGTATGAGACACCACACTGGGCCAGTTTGCTAGTTTCTTAGTAAGTTAAATACATACCGTATGACCCATCTATTCCACTCTTAGGTATTAACCCACAAGAAATTACAACAAATATCCACACAAAGACTTGTATAAGAATGCTCATGGTTGCTTTATTTTTAACAGCCAAAAAACCTGACAACCCAAATGTCTGTCTATAGAAGAATGGATGAACAAATTGTGGTATATTTGTGCCGCTAAATAACACTCAACAAAAATTAATGAACTACTGATACATGCAACAACATGGCTGAACTTCAAAAACATAACACTACCGAGTATGCACTACAGGATTTCATTTTAAATTCTCTAGAACACGCAAACCAGATCTGAAGTGCTAGACAGCACAAACAGTAGCTGGCTGCGGCTAGGGCTGGGGATGGAGATTTGAACACAAAGGGGTACAAGAGAACTTTTCTGGCGGTTATGAAATAGTCTGTATTAGGAAATGGCAAACTATAATTTGCAGGCTGGCTGCCTGTTTTGGTAAATAAAGTTTCACTGCAAAACAGCTATGCCCTACACACCGTAAGGGCAGTATTGAGCAGCTGCAACAGACACCATATGGCCTGTGAAGCCTGAAATATTTGCAGCCTGGTCTATTATGCAGAAAGTTTGCTGACATCTGTTCCATTATCTCTGTCTTACTTGAGGTGATGCGGTTACAAGGTTGCATGAATACGTCAAGGCACACTGAACTGCGCATTTTAAATGAATATATTTAAATGAATATATGTAAAATAACATCTCAGACTGATTTAAAAGGAACAAGTGCTTTGAAGAAGATAAACGATAATGTAAAACAAAGTATTATTATTCCCAGAATTTTTTTAAAAAGAAACTATGACAGGAAGGGGTCCAGAATAAGCCATTGTGGCACAAAAATTATTTTGAGCAGATGGCATTGGAGTTCCTGAAATCCCTTATCTGCCTAGAAGCAGAGTCTCCCGAGAGAACTCAGAAGAATTGCCATAAATCCCCTCCCAGGAGTAACTGTAATCTTCTCTTCTTGGAGAAGTCTACAGCACAACCAGACAGACACTGTTCAAAACTATGTATCTCCCATTTATTCTCCTAAGTGGCATTTGTTTTCCCATACATGTCCTTTCTCCCCTCCCCATTGTAAGAAATTACTTATTCTCTCAGAAGGGCCCTCTCCAACCCTTAATAAGATGGTATATACGCCCAAAATTCGAAGTGCCTCTTTGAGTCACATTTATTCTGAACTCCTGTATACATATATATATATACAATCAAGTCCATTTTTTCCCTTGCTACTCTGTCTTTTGTTGCTGTAATCTGTAGGCCCTCAGCTACCAAATATAAGAGTAAAGAAAAAGGTTTTTTCCTTCTCCCAAAAGACAAAGAATACAAGGCAAAACAAACAAACAAAACCCTGTACTTATAAATTAACTTTAATAATGAAACTACCTTTGCAAAAATTATGACAGTGAAAAAATCTGACCTAACCAATTTTATCTTGCTTCTCACCTCCCAAGCTGCCCTTGTTCATTCCTGGGTGTAGGCTAAACTAACTTTAGGAGGAATTTAGTTCATAGTTTAACTTTGAAATAAAGACGCTAACAGCCCCTCCCTGAAACAAACTCCCGCCTTGCTTAGGGACCAGATCCCCCTTGTAAAACTAATAAATTAGCCACACGATTAAAAATTATGGCTCAGGAATCATGCAGCCAGAGGCCACAAGATTCCTAACCTCCCCGATTGCTCCCATGGATTACATTACTATTGTAAGACCTAAGACTGGTGTGCGAGGTATTTTTCAGACTCTGCATTCTGATAGACCCGCTGGCACCACCCAGACCAATAAAATCTGGCTCAACTAGTTTTGCAATCCCACCCAGCAACAGAAGACAGCAAGAAAACCAGCTTCAACCCACCATGATTACATCCCTGACTCCACCAACCGGCATTCCCCATTCCCTACCCGCGCCCACCGCTGCTATCAAACTACACACACACACACACACACACACACACACACACACACACTTTTTAACAAACAGGGAGAATAATAGCTATTCTTAGGCACTATCCCACTACCGATCAGCATGGGAGTTCTGACCTATTCTGTTTCTAGCCTGGGCCAGTTCACCCCTCCTTAGGCAACATGGTGGTCTCGGCTGCCAGGAGGTCATCATACTGATGCTGAACTTAGTGTGGACACCCAATTGGCACATTGCACTACCACCCAGACCTCCTGGGCTCAAAAGACCCTCCAGTCTCAGCCTCTGAAAGAGCTGGGACTACAGGCGCATGCCACCACACCCAGTATGTCAAACTACCTTTAATTAATTTATTTACTTTTTTGAGTCAGGGTCTCAGTTTGTCACTCAGGCTGCAGTGCAGTGGCATGAACAAGGTTCACTGCAATCTTGTCCTCCCAGGCTCAAGCCATCCTCTCATCTGAGCCCCACAAGGAGCTGGGACTACAGGCATGCACCACTAGGTCCAGCTAATTTTTGTATTTTTTTGTAGAGACAGTATCTCATCATGTCGCCCAGGCTGGTCTTGAACTCCTGGACTCAAGCAATCCGTTTGCCTCAGGCTCCCAAAGTGCTGGAATTACAGGCCAAATTATCTTTAAAAAATCCCAGCCTCTGATTTTTTGCTGAGGCTTAGTAGTAATAAAACTCCGGTCTCATTTACCCAACTCTACGTGTATTAAACTCTCTATCGCAATCCCCTCATCCTGATAAACTGGCTCTGCCTGGGCAGCAGGCAAGAACTTGTTGGTTGGTTACGATAACTGATATCATACATTATTTTAGACGTAGTACATTACTTCTTTAAGATCAGAATATTATTTTTATCATTGGAATGCTGATGGGAAAATATCATTTTTAGTTCAGTCAAAACCTATTAAAGGCAAGACACTCAATTCCAACATGGCCCCTACTAACCGTTCCTCTCTCTTCCATCACCCCTTCCATACCCATCCGATGTGAGGGAATAACCACATTTCCACACATCAGCAGCCTCATGCTGTTCCACCTCAGAAAAGAAAATCTCCACTACACCTATTTCTAATGCTCAGAGCAGCTACTATAGCACATTCCTACTTCAAAAAGACTCATTTCTAATATAAACTTTTGTAAAGAAGTGAGTTTTATAATACCTTACTTGATTATCTTTAAATTTTCATCGTGATGCAATATAACCCGTAATAATTGAAAACCAAGAAGGTAAATAAGAGATCGGTGGAAATTTGCTCTGACCTAATCACAAAACTTAACTAGAAATGTACTGTTAAAACCTGGCAGAAAATTGTTTTTATTAATGATCTGTGGTCTTCAATATCAGACATCCAATATAACTGAAGTCTAGAATGAAAAATTCCATCTAGCAACTGATAAATTATTTACCACTGACTGAGTGTTCAGCTATAAATTTACTTAGAAGTTTAAGTCATGGCATATGTATAAAACTTCAAATTCTAAGTCCACATCCATTTGCCCATGCTTGTTTGTTATTAAAACCACATGTTGTCACTGAATCATTTTATGGTTCATTTGAGACAAACATGCAGAAAATTGTGGGAAACAAATAGAGCCCTAGCAGTCTGTGAAAGGCAAGATACTCAATGCCAATGCAACCTCAGTTATGAGGCTTTGTGAAGCCCATGGTAAAAAGTGTATCCGTGGTTGAAAAGAGGTTTGTCTTAATAAGAAAACTTCACTGCAGCTGTAATGAGACTGAAACTGTAGCAACCACTGATCAAATTTTTATTTTTATCCCACAAACTAGAAAATATGAATCCCACTGCTTAATGAGAAAACGTGTCCCAAAACTTTAAATGGTATTTTTAACTAGTCATATATTTAAACTTCACGGGGTAAAGTGTCCTATTTTTTAAAGAATCTAAAGCATCCATCAAACTAGTGAATTAATAACAAAGGACTCCTTCTTTAAAAGACACTTTGCTAAGCCAGATGCAGTGGCTCATGCCTATAATTCCAGAACTTTGGGAGGCCAAGGCAGCTGGATCACGAGGTCAAGAATTCAAGATCAGCCTGGCCAAGATGGTGTAACCTCATCTCTACTAAAAATACAAAAATTAGCTGGGCATGGTGGCGGACGCCTGTAATCCCAGCTACTTGGGGGGCTGAGGCAGAGAACTGCTTAAACCCAGGAGGGGGAGGTTGCAGTGAACAGAGATTGCGCCACTGCACTCCAGCCTGGGCAACAGAGTAAGACTTCATCTCAAAAACAAAATGAAACAAAACAAAACAAAACAAAACACTTTGCTATACCTTAAAGGTGAAAACAGAATCATTTCTGAATATTCCCATATAACTATATTCAAAGTCCATTTCATGCCCAATAAGCATTTTAAAGCAAATTTGCTATCGTTTGAATGTGTCCCCCGAAGTTTATGTGTCGGAAATTTGATCCCCAATGTGGCAGGGTTGAGAGGTAGGGTCTAATGGGAGGTATTTAGGTCATGGGGCTGCCACCCTCATGAATGGCTTAATCCTGTTATCTCAGGACAGAGTTCTATAGAAAAGGGCAACTTTGGTCCCTCAATCTTGGGTTTCCTAGCCTCCAGAACTGTGAGAAATAAATTTCTGTTCATTGCAAATTACCCAATGTGTAGTATTCTGTTATAGCAGCACAAAACAGGCTAAGATAAAGTTCCTCCTGATAATTCTGAATTCTAACTAGCATATATCACTCTTAAAATAAGAAAAAAAAGCAGGCAGAGGCCGGGCGTGGTGGCTCACACCTGTAATCCCAACACTTTGGGAGGCTGAGGCAAGTGGATCACGAGGTCAAGAGATCAAGACCATCCTGGCCAACATGGTGAAAGCCTGTCTCTACTAAAATACAAAATTAGCTGGGCACGGTGGCGCGCACGCCTGTAGTCCCAGCTACTCAGGAGGCTGAGGCAGAAGAACTGCTTGAACCCAGAAGGTGGAGGTTGCAGTGAGCTGAGATCGCGCCACTGCATTCCAGCCTGGCACTTGGTGACAGACCAAAACTCTGTCCCCCCCCTAAAAAAAAGGCACGCAGAAAGCTACGTAACAAGAAAGCAAAATACAAACCCCCAAGTAAACTTTTGAAAAATTTAAACTCAACTTTTGCCATTGTTTACACTACCCCACAAATCAAGTAACAACCTGCTTTATCTCTACGTCCCTATAATTACTTTATGTACCCTGTCCCGCATCCACTGGGCACACAATTCAACTGAACAAACCTTTAAAGGACCTCTACAGTTTGCTAAGCATGATGGTTTATAAAGAAGTAAAAGAGATGGCCGGGCGCGGTGGCTCAAGCCTGTAATCCCAGCACTTTGGGAGGCCGAGGCGGGTGGATCATGAGGTCAAGAGATCGAGACCATCCTGGTCAGCACGGTGAAACTCCGTCTCTACTAAAAATGCAAAAAATTAGCTGGGCATGGTGGCGTGTGCCTGTAATCCCAGCTACTCAGGAGGCTGAGGCAGGAGAATTGCCTGAACCCAGGAGGCGGAGGTTGCGGTGAGCCGAGATCGCACCATTGCACTCCAGCCTGGGTAACAAGAGCGAAACTCCGTCCCTCCCCCCCCCCAAAAAAAAAAAGAAGAAGTAAAAGAGATACAAATCCCTACATGGAAGGGTTTCTCAACTGGAAGCAACATCCAACCATCAGCACTCGCTAACTGTGCGTGCTGAGAGCCCAGGGCAGGAGGCGACTGGGGGAGGGGAAGCCTTTCCAGAACAGACAACACCACAACTGAGCCAAGATGCACAGGTCCTCGTAATACTATAAAAGACAAGAAAAGAACTCTAAATACAAAGAATAGTATAAATGTTAGCATGCATCATAATCATCTGGAGGACTTGTTTAAAAAAACAGATTCTAATCCCTAGCCCCAGACTACCAATTTAGGTAGGCCCTGAGATTTTTCATTAATATCAAATTAATATCAAATTCCAAGGTGATGCTAATAATGTTCTTGGTCTTTTCACTCTAACATTAGGTGATCAAAGAGGTGTGGTCTCTCTTAGTTTTTTTTTGTTTGTTTGTTTTCAATGAAGGTACTAATCCCATCATGCGGCCTCCACCCCCATGACCTAATTCACCTTCCAAAGGCCATGCACATCCTGGTATCATCATCTTGAATGTTAGAATTTCAATGTAATTCTGGGGAAACACAAACATTCAGACCATAGCAATTATGTAAATATTTTAAAATATAACTATTTTTTTAAATTGTTGAACTCAGGGCACTTTTAAGTAAACTTTCATAAACAATATTTCATAAATATTTCATAAACAAATTATCTTAAATTTACTTTTAAAAATGCAACTGGTTTATACCATTTCACACATATTAGTATGACTAGAATTTTAAAAAAACACATACAAACAGAAAATAACAATTACTGGCAAGACACCGGAACTCTAATACATTGCTGGTGGGAGTGTAAATGGTGCAGGCACTGTGGAAAACAGTTTGGGACTTCTTCAAACAGCTAAAAATAGAATTCCTATATGACTCAGCAACTCCACTTGTAGGTATACACCCAAGAGAATTAAAAGCAGGAACTCGAACAGAACCTGGCATACCACTGTTTACAGCAGCCTTATTCACAATAGCCAAAAGGTAGAAACAACTCAAGTGACCATCAACAGATGCAGGTTAACAAAATACAATATATCCATGCCATGTAATACTATCCAAAGATGGAATAAAGTTCTGATACAAACTACAACATGGATAAACCTTAAAAACACTGAGCAAAGTGAAAGAAGCCAAACACAAAGGACAAATATCGTGTGATCCACTGATATGAAATTATTAGAACAGGCAAATTCACAGAGAAAGTGGATTAGAAGTTACTAGGGGCTGGGGTAAGGGGAGAGTGGGGACTTATTGCTTAATGGTTACAGAGTTTGTATTTGGAGTGATGAAAACATTTTAGAAATAGTGGTCATGGTTGCACAACACTAAATGTAATAAATGCTACTGAATTAGGCACTTGAAAATGATTAAAATGGCAAACTTTAGTTTATATATATTTTTTTATTAAATACCATCATAAAAAGCTCAAATTTAATTAATTCAAAGTTTAGTCTCAATTATTTGTCCAAAAGCCCACTAACAATTAAATTGCTGCCATCAATACTTTGATTTCAGTTTAGCTGACTTCTTAAGTTATGAAGACATATCATATTGGTTTTGTTTTGTCTACAGTATTCATATCGTCACAAAGAAAACTGCTAATGGAAGACAAGACAATAATTTTAGCCAAATTTAGTCAAATCAACTTTGAAAGGCAGAAACAGTCACAGCAAACAAGCTCACTAATAACCTCACAGGTTAGGGCGGTTTAAGAACGCTAGATAAGCAAGTCTGTTTCAAAGATAAATTATCTAACTTTCTTTCCATCCAGTCATATGAAAAGTAAACCTCTTAATAAAAGCACACAAAGTTTTTTAATGGGACAAAACAGACCAGCAGGATGCATTATATACTGGTATAGTATCTTTGCCTATAGTTATTTTCTTAGCCATAATATAAATTTCCCAACAAACAAAATCTCACTTGTCTCTGACACTCCCTCGCTCCCAACTTTCAATACTTTGAGTAATTAAAAAGACAGAAAAGAAACAATTATATAATGAGGCTCCTAAAATATAGGAAATGTATAATGAGCTATGCCATCATATACACTTCTCTACTTCAGTAACTTAGGTTCTGCAAACTCCAACCTGATTTTAGTGATGCTAACTCCTGATTTCTCACTTCAAAACTAAGTTTCTCAAGGGTGCTGTCACTCTGCCTTTACTGTTTATTCTACAGCCTTATGCATTTAGAAATACCAGTGTCAAGTGAAAGTTGGTTAAGTGCAGCATAAGTCACAATACAGGGAAAGTAACTCAAATCTGTGAGTCTAAAAGTCCTTTGAGGCTGGGTGTGGTACTTCATATCTGTAATCCCAGCACTCTGGGAGGCCAAGGTTGTGACCGCTTGAGCCTAGGATTTCAAGACCAGCC